CCGAGAGCCGCTTGTTGTGCTCCTCATTCATCTTCTCCCGCTGGCGGGCCTGCAACAGCAAACAGTGATCGGCCACGTCAAATCCAGTGGATCTGTTCCTCCTGCCATGAGGGGCTCAGTGCCCTCCTGCCATCATGTGCCTGCTGGTGGTGTCAGAGCTGATCCACCAGGCCTGGCTTTTGGGGACAAATCCATCCCTTACAGCACAGATCAGACCCTCTGCTGGGGCTCTGCTGGTCTCTGCCATTTCCCAGCCAGGGACGAACAGGAGAGAGGACAGGATCTGAAGAGATCCTGCCTGCCTGACCCTCAACAAAGCTTTACCTGTACATTTGCCAGGGACAGCCACACTGGAGGCACATTCCAGACCCCAAAAGGTGCGGATCCTCTGGATTTGCAAAGGTCTCTTCAAATGTCAGCCCTTGGCCAAAACAACCAGGGGCTTCCCCAAGGGCACATGCTGTAATACCACCTGGGCAACCCAAGAAATGGGCATGATGATCTCCTGCGTGGACAGCCCAGCCACAAGCTAAGGAGCACAACAGGGATTGTGTGTCCCGTGACACATTGGCCACATCTCTGTCTTTTTGAGGGGCAGCACCCTTTGCTGCCAGCATCCATCAGTCTTGCTCTGCTGCTGATCCTGGCTGGGAAGGAAAGCAGCTGGAGCTTCCCCCTCTGCCCTGCATTTAAGGTCCCAGCTTGCCCCAGGAGGTGATGCTGGGAGGGGAATGGATGTGGCATGCTAACAGCAAGACTTGGATGCCTGGGAGAGGGAGAAATCACAGCAGAGAGTGTCATGAGCTCCTGGGTGACTCTAGATGAAGAGATCCTGGATGGGAGAGCATTAACCAGGCCCCTCTCCCCATCATGCTTCAGAGACACAGCAAGCCCACCCTTCCTGGTGTGCCCAGGTACCTAGCCACTGTGGCAAGGTGGAGCCAAGGCTGGATCAGGACCTGCAAGGAGTCCCCAGTCCAGGCTGAGCAGTGCTTACCCTGGCCAGCTCCTGGTTCTTCTCCTCTAACTGGCTCTCCAGCTGCCGGAGGTGCTCCTCGATGCTCCCGTGCCTCTCTTCTGCCTGGGAAAAGCAGAGTAGCCCTCTTGGATGATGCTCCCCGAAACCATGCGGGTCCTCCTGGACTCCTCCCTTCACCCCTGCATCTGCATCCTTTCCCGGATGCAGCGCTCTCTCTCACTGCCTGCATCCCCACCATGGTTCACTGTGAGCCCAAAACAGCCCTGCTAGCAAGGTGATGGGAGATGGAGGTGCTCTGTGAGCGACTTGCACCCGTTCCAGCGCCCGGAATGGCAGAGCTGGCTGTATCCACACCTCCCTCCCAGATCCAGCCTGGGTTCTTCCTCTTCGTCCTCATCCCAGAGTAGTCCCAGCACAAGCTGAAGGCCACTCAGATCAAGAGGGCCATCTCTTCCTTAGAGAAAGGAGTTGAAGGGAGGGAGCAAACCCTGCGCGTGCAGGACACGTCAGGAGCTTTAAAAATGGTGCATTGTCCCTGCAGCCCTGGGGGAGGCAGAGGACAGCAAAGCTCAGAAGCTGGCACCCCTCAGAGCACGGTGCCTTGGGGCTGCCAGGGGCTCAGTCACTGCAGGGGGGCAGCCAGATCTGCCTCTTCCTCTGGTTGCTGTGCTCTCTCCTGTCTCAGCTGTCCCCGAGCACCCCGTGCACTTGCCTTGGTGAGTGCGGCGATGCGCTGGGCCAGCTCTGCTTCCACCTCGGGTAGCGTCTCTGCCTTTCGCATCGTCTGCTGCAGCTTCTGCTCCGCCAGCTCCAGCAGCTCTTGCAGATGACGGGCTTTCTCCTCGCACTGCGGGACAGGGCAGGATGGGTGCTCGGCACCGAGCCTTGCCTGCTTGTCCCATCCCCAGCACCTGTTTCTCCCTTTAGGTCCCCAGGGTGGTGGGGAGTCTTTGGGTCTGAGTTTTGGTACCTGGCGGTGCAGGGACTCCTTGTTGGCCAACTCGCTTTCCAGCTTGTCATTGAGGTCGTGGATGGAGGTGGCTTCTCGCTGGGCTGCCAGGTAGCGTTTCTCCAGTGTGGTGATCCTCTCCTCCATGTCCTCTTTCTGAGCCAGGGCCTGGGGAAGCGATGGGGCTGTCACATCCTTATCTGTGACCACCAATTTGGGAATAACTGGGTCACCCAGCTCCTGTGAGCTTGGGACACCCCCAAGTCCAAGCATGCAATGAAAACCCTGCCCTGCACAGGAATGAGGGACAGCAGAGTGGGAGATGAATAAAGGGAGAGTCAGGTAACCACAGAAAAACCCTCTAGCATGGCCACAGCTCACTGCCCCAGGTCTGTGGCACACCTGGGCATCTCGGTGTCTGCTTATAACCTGCTGATGGACTTGGGGACAATCTCTCATAGGCAGTTCCTTTTGGGGAACACTGGCCTTCACGCTCCATACAACAGGGGTTACAATCCCTCCCCAGCCCAGAGCATGTGGAAGCTGCTGTGAATGTCTCTGCAACTGCAACGGGCTTGGCAGTGCTAGAGGGCAGTGTCTAACCTCTCGGAGGTCCCTCTGGTACTTGCTGCTCATCTCCTCTGATTTGATCAGATCCTTCCTGGCGGTGCCCAGATCCTCCTCCAGCTCAGCGACGCTGGCAGCCAATGCAGAGATGCGCTCCTTGGCCTGGACCACTTCGAAATTCTGCTTCTCCAGGAGCTCCTGCAGCTCCACCGCCTGACCTGCTTCATCGTCCGGGTGGACAGAGCCATTGGAGAGCCGCTGCAAGGCAGCAGAGAGGGAGGCGGATGCCGGGCTGCCCCAAAGCACGGGCTGGCATTGCCTGCAGCTATGCAATGGGGGAACAGGGAACATGGCCCTGCAGGCATCCAGTGAGGTGGCGAGGAGTGGGGATGTAGGGCTCTGGGACCCCCTGTCAACAGTTTCCACTAGCCAAGTATGTGGCTTCTCACAGGCACAATGGAATAGGGATGGGTGAGGGTTTCCCAGAGCGTCTCTGGGAAGCAGAGCCCCAGGAGCATCTGAGCAGGAGCACAAATTCCCCTCCGCTCAGAAATGGCCTGTATCCACCAGGAAGGGCATTTCCCAGGGGGTCGGACCCAGTGGGTCAGGAAAAAAGTTTTCAGCACCCTGGAGCCAGTGACAAGGGGGTTGGAGAAACAATGGCCTTGGTGAGCATAGTCAGAGCAGGGGTTTCTGGGGCTCTCACCTTCCAAGGATGCTTCTGTGCTGGCTCCTTGGGTTCCCTCTCATCCCTCTCACCTGCTGGGGCCTCCCGCGGGGCACCTTGCTGCAAAGCTGCCACCTGCATGACAACAGGGATAATTAATGAGACAAAGCAGAGGAGACCAGCTGGTCTGGCTGTGAGTGAGGCCAGCCCTGGTGCACCCAGGTCTGCAAGCAGCTTCCCGCTGGCTTCCTCCATCATGATCTTCAGCTAGTGCCTAGGGCTGAGGGGGAAACTGGAGGGATAGGGTGAAGAAGAGAGGGAAAAGCAGAGATGCTGTGAAGGCTCAGCACTGGTGGAGGATGAAGCCACACCTTGCATGGACACAATGGTGCTCGCTACAGGCACGCAAAGAGCCTGAGCCCCAGGAGTAAGGTTTTCCTGGTGAGCCCTCAGGGACCTGAGACCTGCACCCAGGAACTCCCTCCCAATTCACTGCACTAGCTTGGAGCCAGACAGACTCCAGCGCAGACATAGCCAGTAGGAACAGGGGATAAACACTGACATTGCACCTGCTCTGCTGGGGGAGGATGGGGACCGGTGCCTGCAAGGTGACCGAAGGCCAGGCATGGAGCCTGGGGAAGTACCGTGAGATACATCCCGGGAATTGGAAAGAGGAGCAAAATTTGGCCAAGCAGAGGCTATAAGGATGGCTCTTTCCTTTTGGCAGTGGTGGCTGGGCACTAACCTCAGGAAGGAAAGCCTGGTTCACCATCTCCAACAGGGCTAAATGTTGGGGACAGAGAAGTCCCCATGCCAGAGCCTGAGCAAGGACAGAAATGGGGGATGCAAGATGGGGTGCTTGGAGCAGCAAGGTTTACACCTCTGCTGAGGCAGGGGAAAAGCCAACAAGCAAAGTCACTCTCAGTCCCCTTAAATGATTCAGGTTGCTTTCGTCCGTGAAATGAACACCAAACAGAGGAAAGCTGGCCTGTGAGACAAAGGCAGAATATTTAGATGGTTTCCTTAAATACAGGCAAGCCTTCATGTAAATAGCAATTTTAGAATAAAAGCCTTACATTAAAAATGCCCAAATGCCACTTCTCCAATCTGCACGATCATTTGAGGGTGGTATTTCAGCAAATTCAACATGAATTAAAAAATGTAACACGGAGCAGTCCCAGCCTAGGGGGTGCCCCAGCAAGGGCCCAGGGTAGGCTGCCAAATGCCTCTTACCTGACGATGGGCATCCACGAGCTGCTCCTCCAAGGTTGCCACTCGCTCCAAAGCTGCTCGCAAGCGTTCCCTGACCTGCAGTCATGTAAGATAACAAGAAAAGCCATTATTTATCTGTGATGAGGGTGCCCAGGATCTAGGCAAGCTCCCAGCCCCTTTCATCTGGCTGACAGTCAGGCTCAGATGGATTCACATCCAGGGCACGGGCTCAAGGATGCTCCAGCCCATTGCCTGGGAGAGCAAAAGCATGTTGGAGAGGAACAGCCCAGATCAAATTGATTCTTGCAGAAGACCCATGGCTGGGGCAGCTTGAAAATGTCTTTTAGCAGAAGAAGGAGCTGCTCAAGGTAAATGAATCAGGAGGAACAATATGAGTTGTAACAGAAAGACTGAACCAGGGTGCCAAATGCCAGCGCTCACCACCACCATGTGAGTGACCCGGGGAAGCAAGATCCCTGTCCCTGACAGTCTCAAACCCACAGCATCCACTCAGCAGCCCACGGGCTTCTAAAATGAATGTGCTGCAGCTTTTGGATGCCCAAGGCCTTCCTCCTGAGGGACCCCATGCCACCACCCAGCTTAACAACAAAAAATGGCATTCAGCGGGAGGGAGGAGGAGTGTTGGGAGAAGGTCAGCTCGGAGCAGGGGATGCTCATGGAGCAAGCCAGGAGAGAGGTCCTGGCAGCCTGTCTCACCTTTTCATCTAGCGCCTTGTGATGCTCAAAGAGTGACTTGAGCGCCTTGAGCACCTCGACCTCACTGGAAACCCCAGATGGTGACTGGGCCTGACGCTTGACCACGGTCATCCTCAGGGACCGCTCATGCCTCGACACCAGGCACTCCAGGTGCTCCAGCAAGAGCTGCAAGAGGGCAAACATGAGGCTCGCACCAACTCAGGGGCTGGTGATGCTGGTATCAGCCCAGCAGCCTGTGGTGTCCCACATTTCTGGGGACTGAAAGCCAGACAGCAGGTTTAATATGCTTACCCGGGTGTTATTGCGCTCGGCTTTCAGCTCTGAGATCTCCTCTTCCCTCTCCAGGAGCTGCTCCCGGCACGCACTGAGCTCCCGCGTCAGCGTTGCAAACTCCTGCAGAAATCAGGGCACGGCTGTGAGCAGGGAGAGTAGGATGAAGATGGAGCCAGCGTCCTGGCCCCACTGCCAGGACCTCCAGAACAGAGCATTTCCCATCCAAACCCAAGCAGTGAGAGACAGGGACACCAAAGGGAACATTGAGAAATCGGTGAAGCACAGTCAGGTTGGGAGGTGCTCTATTCCTGACTTCCCCAAGTGCTTTGAACAAAGGAGAACACAGCATCCCAGTATTTATGCATTTGGTTTGATGTCCAACGACACAAGAAACTGCTCTGCAGCTCCAGAGGTGCTCAATGGCATTTAAAACATCCCAGTCAAGGCCACCAACATGTTCCCATCCCCACTGACCCCCTGATGCAACCCAGGAGAGCACCCACCTTGCAGCATCCCATCAGGCTAAAACATACTGCAGAGCCACAGCCAGCCCCAAACCAGCCTCTGCCATGGCCTCAGGACCTGGCATCATCCAGAATCTCTTTCCAAAGGAAAGAGCAAGATCTACCCCAGTCCAGCATGTGGGGCCCCACTGAGGTTCTTATGGGGTACCCCCAAACCCCAAATCCCAGCTGAGAGAGATGGGGCACAGCAGGAGATGTGGCAGGTGCCACCAGCCCTTGCTCCAGCCACCAGTCCCTCTGGGGAGGTGACAGCCAGCAAGGAAGAGCCGTACACAGAGTGATGCCGAAGCAGAGCTGCAAAGCCAGCACAGCTTTTAGGACCTGATGGGCTCCTCAGAAACAGAGCAATCGCACTTGTGATTGTGTCAGAGGGGAAATGAAACCCGCCATGAAGTTCCTGTGATGCAGGAGAGTTCATTTTCCCTTAAAAAATGAAAACCAAGCACGTGGGTTAGCCCAGGACCACTCTCCCATTGCTCCCAGTTGCTCTTTCAGTCACCAAGTGGTGCCAGAACTAAGCGACATTTTGCAGCTTGGATTTTTTGTGGTGAAAAATGCAAATGTCGAAACACTCCATGAATTTACACCAGTTTCACAGTGTTGTTGAGAAGAACTTAAAAAGAAAACAGGGTTTCAGAAGCTGCTGAGAAGGATTTGATTGAGCATTAACAAAACAAATTTCAACTTGGGGCTGAGAGTGGTTTTACAGCGTGAAATTCTCTTTCACTTTAATTTTCAAGTTAATCAAATAAAACCCCTTCAAACTGAAGCAAAATGTTGAGGTTTAGGTTGAATCAAATGCTCTGCTCAGCTCAAAGTGAAACCTCTTGCAACAGCTGACATCCCTCCAAGAAATCAAGAGCTTTTTAATCTCCATTTGTCCCAACTAGATTTTCCCTCTCCCTTCCCACCCCAAACTGCTCACACTGGTGTGGTTTTTTAGCCTGGGGTTCGTGGGGACGGTCGTGTCACTGGTGGTGCTGAAACCCCACAGTGGGACAGGACCAAGCATACTGCAATGTGGATGAAGAGAAAGACTAATCGCAGGGGTCTAAGTCAGTCATTGTCCCTATAAATAGTTGCTTTTCTGCCCATCACCACGCCTCAGGGCTGCTGCCACCCAACACCCTTGCCCTAGCACCGTCCCTGGGACCTGAGTCCCCCGGCTCCTTTCCAGTCCTGCTCCTGCCCCATTGCTTCCTCAGGGACTTCTCCAAGCCCTGGGGTCATCCCTGTCCCCATCAGTTGTCCTTCAAATTGGTCACAGCACCCCAAACCTCCCTCACCAGCCCCTGCCATGCCCAGCCACCATCCCACGCTTGCTCTTGGACCATCGTACAGCCCCCCAAAGTGCAGTGAACCCCACTGCAGAGCGGCTTCCCTGGGAGATCGCTGTGCCAGCCAAGCCTTTCCCAAAGCTGTGCTCTCCCAGCCAGCGGGGATTAAGGCTCGGCACAGCCCAGCGGCACACATGTGTGCATGCGCACCGCTGGGTTATGCAAGTGCTGCGCACAGGAGCGAGCAGCTTGTGAGCATCCCTACGGATTATACCAGGGCTGGGAATGCCGGTGAGTGGAAAGCGTGTGAGAGCAGCAGTGAGAGGTGCCAGGTTAAGTGCCCGTGCACCGCTGGCTGCTTCTGATTCAGGGATATGTCACTCCCCTCATCCCTCAATATGCCAGGGGACAGTCAGTAAGGCTTGAGCTCAGCAAAACCATCCTTGCAGCCGTGCTGGCCCTATAAACGTCTTTCAGCAGCCTGAGCTATAACGGCAGGTGACACATTGGCTGTGGACCCTCTCCCAGCATTGTGGATCTGCCCACAGATCTGCAAAGGGTGGAAACCTCTTGCTCTGCCCCACGGCTGGCAGAGGAAGCTGGGGCTGTGGATCTGGATGTTCTCCCCTCTAGGGTGAACAGGGCTACGTGCAGTGTGGGACGGATGGGACAAGGTATCGGAGGCAGCAAGGGAAGAGGGATGCGATGCTGGGAATGGTGATTGCCAGCACTCGGCCCTCCTCGCCCTGCATTGCCTGGGCTGGCCAAGCTGTACAGATTGCACCCCAATCAGGCTTTCATCCCAAAAGGCAGGGAGATTAAAAGACAGAGAAAATCCGCTGGAGAGAGACAGGCAGCCCCCACCCCGGCCAGCCCGATGCAATCCACAGGTCAGCGGGTCAAAGCGTTGTGGTGGCTTCACTGCCGGCCCAGCACAAAGCTCCTGCCCGACTCCATCACATCAGGGTGCTCCTCTCTGAGCCCTCCACCCTGCCAGGAATGGCTGGCCAGATCCTGTGCTGTGTGCCTCAGGAGCATCCCATGGCAAATGAGAGAGACCACAATAACTGTCCTTCCTTGGGGAAAGGCTGCAAAAAGGAGCATTTACCACCAAAAATAGCATCAACCCTGCAGCAAGACAGGACAGCAGTAAGGGTTAGCCGAGTACACAGGGCTGGGGGTGCTGGCAAGCCTGATTTTGATGGTTTGGGAATAAAAATATAGGAATAAATCCAGGTGATTTTCCTCTGCCCTGGCCATGGCCAGGAGTCCACCAGGAGATGCAGAGGCGCCTGCCCCTGGCTCTGGTAAGCTCTCAAACTAAGCAGGGACACCTATAAACGGATTAGAAAGTGAAGGAGAGGTGCCTGATCTTCAATCAAAGGACGGATGATGAGACACAGCCCTGAGAGTCCTCGGAAGCCTTTCAGGAAGCCCAGCAGCCCGGGAAGTGGCTAATTTGGATTAAAACCAAACCACCCAAAGTGCGACTGGCTGGGCTCAGCCCCAAGCCCTGGGGCAGGAGGCAGCAGGGTGGAGAGATGCTATTTTCACGGTCAGAGCAGAGAGGGAGACCTGGAGCACCACGCAAGGTATTGAAAGGGGGTGTTGTAGCTCGGGGCTTGGATCTTTGGCTAGTGCCAGGCATGTTTGGGGTACAGGGTCTTCCCCCTTGGCTGCATCAATGGGAAAGCACAGGGAAGAGCTGGAGGAAGGCCAGAAACCAGCTACATGGAGACAGCTGGGAAGGCAAGGAGAGTTTTAGGAAGCTCAGGGGGAGAAGGCTCATAGCATGAAAAAGCTGAAATGCAAAAGTCCTCAGCCCAGAGCCATCTTCTGCCTTTTCCCTGTACAGCACAGACAAGGACGCAGTGAGACTGCAGCAAAGTGAGCAAAACTGTTTGTGGCAGGAGTGCAGCAGCCCCTCCAATGCACCCAGACCTCAGGAACAAATTGGCTCCAGCTGCAGGATTAATGGCACTTTAAAGCCCCTAATTGGAGTGATTGCTCCTGATGGGCCAGGTGTGTGATGGAGAGTGATGTGAGAAGGATGACCATGCCGGGAAATTGTCACTGCTGACTTGGCACGTGAGGGATAGAGCCCCATCCATCTGCCTGTCCGCACTGGGAGTTGGCAGTCCCATCACCTCAGTTTCTCCTTGCTGTCCCAGGAGCAGTGCAGAATTATGAGAAAGCCCTAAATCACAGTTGAGGGGATAAACACAACCCCAGCAGTGCCTAGCATGGGATTATGAAGATTAAATCCTCCTGGGTAAACCCAGGGCTTTGACCACCACCCACCCTCAGCACCGAGCAGTGCGGTGGCAAGTCCTGGACCTTTTGGCTACAGCACTGTGACTCTGTGGGGATCATCCATGGAGAATTGGTGTCCTCCCCTCTCAACACGCTGTCACGATGTGTATTTCCACCCAGGATTGCTCGGGGAGAAGCACTGTGCAGCCGAGCAAGCACAGAATCCAACATCTCAGCACCCTGATCTTGTGGGAGGGTGGCCAGCTCCAAGGGTTCAATGCTGAGCCACCAGATCCCTCCATCCTTCCCAAAAATCTTGAGATATTTTAAAGGTGTCACCCAGTGGATGTTTTCCCCCAGCTTGGAGCTGCTGGGCTTCCTATTTTCATGCTGCTTTTTGCAAGTGTTAACTCTAGATATATTTTTAAGTTAAATGGGAGGAATTTGGGGTGATTGTTCAGTGCCAGGATCCTTCCCAGCTCCTGGGGGACCTCCAGGGAGCTCAGGGAGTCTTAGGGAGTCTGTCCACCCCAAAAAGCAAAGCTCTCAGCTCCCCAGGCAGTCACAAGAGGCAGCGAAGGTGCAGCAGAGCGGGGCCTGGAAGAACTGTGGGAGGTTTCCATGACCATCGGTAGCCCTCAGCACAGCAACCCCTGTGAAATTTGGGAGCCTGTTCTCCCCCTGACACAGCTAGGGAGATGGACTCCTGCCAAACCCCCAGGCCCTGGCAGGGCAGGGAGAAGTGCCATCCCACGCAGGACCCCGCACCGGGAACACATCTGGATACACCTGCATGTCATATCCCCCAGTGGCACCTATACCCAGGAGAGCAGAGGGGGAGCTGAGCTGAGCGGCCAGGCAGGAGGGAGCTGGGAGCGGCCAGCCGTGCCAGGGCCCCAGGGGGGTGCCGAGAGCACCCACACCCTGGTCAAGGCTTGGTCCTTGGCCGCACACCCCCTGCACAAGCCAGGAGGGCAGAGGGATTGGAGCAGAGAGCTTTCAGCCCGATTAAGTCGTGTTCAGCGCTCCCACAGGAATAAATAAATCATGTAAGAAGCATTAAGGCAGCTTAGTTTCCCTGGGAAATCGTCCTGGAGTTCTGCCTTTTGGGGGCTGAGGGATGCCCCCATGGATTAGGGGGAAAACGGCCACCATGGATGAGGGGGAAACCGGCCACATGGCAGCCAAGCCAAACATGAGCAAGGGTGAACGGGAACTACAGGCAGGAGCATCCCTGGAGCATCCCTGCCTATCCCACGCAAGGGTTCGCCCCAGACATGCACATTACCTGCCTGCCCCATTGATCGCTCGGCTGGGACTCTGGGTCCCGTGCCAACACGGTGGCATCCAGCAGCCACTGTGCCCCGAAAGGATGCAGAGTGCCACGTCCCCCAGCCACCATCCACCCAGTCCTCCCCAGGCGGCACGTTCTCCGCACAGCCAGGGCTTGGCTCTTCGGTGACACTGAGGAAGGGCTGTCAGCCTCGTGGGTGGCCACCAGTGAGGCTGGGTGCCCAACCCTGCCTCAAAATAAGGGTTTCTTCAAGCAATCCAGCTTGAATCCTGTCCCAGTGGGGTCTGACACATTACAATAAGATCCTGGGCAAAAGGGCTCACAGAGAAGGAGGAAGAGGATGGGATGGACCTGTGCAAAGCCCCCACGCAGCACCCCAGGGAAGAGACCCGCCACGTCCCGCTTACCTGGTACATGCACATGCTGGGATTAATCCCATTGGGCAGGTGAGTGCCTTTAGGTTTGCTCCCCACGTTCATGCTGAGCCCTCATCTCCCACGAGGGCAGCCGGTGCAGCCCCAAGGGCAAGCAGCACAGTGGGCACCGGGGGCTGCCGTGCCTGGGCGCAGACCCCCCCTGCCCACGCAGGGACAGGCAGGGCAGCAGGAGGCAGCGGGAGCTCAGGGAAATGCCCCATCTGCTGCCCACCCTAATCACATCCCTCGCCGTGGTGCAGGGAGCCGGAGGCAGTCCTGGCTGGAGCAGGGCACCTGCTGGGCTCCTGGGTGCAGTGCTGTCACCGAGTCCCTTTGTGCTGACCCAGTTTGCTCTGTCTGCATGCCGTCTGTGCTGAGGCACCGAGGACCCTTTATTGGAGCGGGAGCAGAGACTAAATCCGCACGGTCTCTTAATCCAAGGCGGCTGCAGAGGGGCGGGCAGTGTGCTCTCACGGTGACCTGCCTTGCTCTCTCCGACGTGTGCTGGCTGGGGGGCTGGGAGTGAAGGGGATGTGAGCCCCTGGCACATGGGAGGTGGTGATGGCCCTGTCTGCACCCAACACTTGGGCACATCTCAGTACATCTCTGAGGACAGGGAGGAATTCATTCACGGGGACCCCAGGAGCTCCTGGGGAAGCACTGTTGGGTTTTTTGCTTTCAGCAGCCTGGGCAGAGCCAGGACCAGCCCAGCTCTGTGCATGGGCACACGGGCTGCCTTCCTCCCAAGCTGTTTTCCCCCATCCAGAGCAGAGGAGGGATGCCAAGAGCTGGCCGACCACCAGCCCAAGCTCTGTCCTGGCTTGTGCCACCAGCTTTGATCCATCGGTCATTTCCTGTCTCCCTAGTGTGCCTCAAACCCCAGCACCTAGGCAAGGAAGATCTAAGGTTTCAGCACTGGCTGAACAGACATAAATGCCTGAAGTCTCCTGCTTCCCCAGGCTGCTGGGCTCCTCCCCACATCATAACCACAATGGAGCAGTGCAACAGCCCCCCAAATCCTGCTTCCCCCAAGTCTGGGCCCTGGGACACTGTGTGGTGCCCCACAAGACCCTGCAGGGAAGGTGGGCAGCTTGGATCCACCTTGCACAGCCCTAAGATGCTGATCCACCCCATCCTATTCTGACCTGAGCATCTTTCTTTGTGGAGGCCAAGCTCAAGTCCAGGTCTCTGCAGTACCTGGAGTGGGTCCTGCAGGTCGAGGAGCTGGGAGCAGACCAACACCAGAAACCCCAGCGGAGCCACAAACCCTGACTCCCCTGTGCCCTGTGCTGCTCACTGAGCACAGACCTCTGGCATCCTCCCTGCCTGTTGCCTGTCTGCTCCAGCTCAGGAACAATCGGGCCCCTTATGATGTCCCAGTCCCTACTCTGCATCCAGCTCTGCCTGCAGCGTCCCCTCTCAGGATCAAGCTTGAGACAAAGAAAGTTCCATCACCCCACCGGGCAATGGGGCTGATGGAAATGAGCCCTCCTGGTGAGGGAACGGGCAGGGAGTGGGGGCTTCCCTCCAGCAGTGGTTAATATCCCTGTTTGGGGACTCTGTAAGTGCCAGTGGGGACGCATGAAACTGAGAACTGCCCAACATCCCAAGGAGCTGGCTGGAGGCAGCAAGCCAGACCTGCTGCCCAAAATGTGTAGTCTGCTCCCCAAGCACTGTTCAGTGCTAATGGGCTAATTCAGGCTCTGCATCTGCCTCACCAGTCATCCTGGGGTGTCCTTGGGAAGGTTTTGCCTCTTCTCCGTACCCATTCCCCTGTGCAACGGGGGGTACTGCAGTCCCACACCTCTCTGCATGGACTCACAGACCAAGGAGGGGTACAGAGGAGAAGGGGAGATGTTCCAGCTGGTTGTGGCTTGGCCTGGGAGAACCTATAGGTCTTACTATTGGTATGAGGTGCAACACACCCAGCAGCATCACCACTATCACACCAAGCTGGCCTTCCTAAAGGCATGAGCTAAAATTCACATCCGAGCAGCTGATCGCCCTCGTATGCCCCAGTGAGGGCTCCTGCTCATCCCAGGACCAGATCCTTACCTGTGGGAGGGCTGAGCTGAGTTGCCTCTGGAGCTGGTCACGCTCCCGTAGAGTCTCCTGCAAGCGGCTCTGAGTGACAGAGAGCGTCTCACGGGTCTCCCGCAGGGTGTCCAGCAGCTTGTCCCTCTCATCCAGCATGTTCACCATCAGCTGCTCGAAGTCGGCATCCGCCTCAGAGCCCTGTGGGGGGCCCAGAGGGTCCCCCTCGCTGATCGTGGGCATCACCTCGCACATCATGGCGGGGTGTGACGGGCAGGCAAGGGTCTTGGAGGTGCCCGGTGGGGCGGGTGGTGGGTGCTGTTGAGCTCTGGGGCCCTGATCACATCGCTATGGGCTCCTGCAGGTCAGGGGAGCCAGCACAGGAGGAGGCAATGGGGTAGTAAAGGTGGAGGGATCCCCCATCCCTCCTTCTTGGGTGCTAAACAGAAGCTGGCATCACTCCGGTGGGGATGGAGTGACGTCTTTGGCACTGACAAGGCCCTCACAGTCTTACATCCCCTGCTCGGCTGCTTGTCACTGCCAGGGTCCCTCGTGTCACCTCAATGATGCCTTTCAGAGGGGCCGGAGCATCAGCGAGCCATGGGGATGTTGAGGGGGACAAAGCGACCCTTGAGGACTCGTCCCAGTGGGGAGCCCAAGCTGGCAGCAGCACAGGGAGGGTCTGGGGGATATGTGGGCTGCCTGGGCATGCTGAGGAGGAGTCCAGTGACAGCGGGCTGTTCTCCCCAAGGCTGGATGAGATGGTCACTGCTGGTCCAGGAACATGTCTCTCTTTGGCATCGCGTCTCTTCAAACATGCATGGTGACCTACAGGACAGGGGACAGAAATCAGGTCCCTCCTGCTGCTCCCAAAATGCCCAGCGCACCTGCCCAGCACCCTTTGCCCCCCATCAAACCCCAGGGGACTATCAAAGGTGGGGTCAGCACCCACAGGAGTGGGCTGTGTCAGGTTGTACCACCCTGCACCCACGTGGTCACTATATTGCATCCCGTATAGTACCCAGCTGCAGGGAACAGCATCGCCAGGACCCAAAATCCTGCAATAGACTTTGGCATTCACATATCTCATTCCCTTTGCAGAGTGCCTGGCTGCTGAGGGACCCCGTGGCCCAAGTGTCCTCCAGCCACAGAAACTCTCCATTTGCAGAAAATGAAAAACCTGAGTTTGGCCCAAACCTGTCATGAAGTCACAGCAGCAAATGAGTTGAACGATCAGATTAATGTCCACCCCCCTCTCCCTGCAGCACCAATGGGGACAGATGTGGTTCAGTGGTAACTGAACTTCAACGCATCCTCCGTTGGCCAAACATCTACCCAGGGGATCATCCTGCAGCATCATCCCTGAATTACTGCACAAGCACAAGAACTGTTCCTTGGCCAGTGCCAGGGATGAGTGGCTGGAGGAGAAAGGCAGAGCCGCCAATTTGGGCAGCAGCCTGTATTTAGGTTGGATTAACGTGTGGCTGGACCTGGGGACTTGGCCCCAGGGGGGATGCTGGTACCCGCAGCCTTGCCTCCACTTCTGCAGCCCAAAACTGTCACAGGCAAGGTACCAGACAGGGATTTCTACTAACGCAGCCCTTTGGGTGAGATTCAGCCCACTATAGCTGGATGAGGGTCCCCAGCAGCAAGGGTCGGCGTGCCACTGTCACCCCAGCTACCCTTTGCCAGGCTTTGTCTGCAAGGGGACAAACCATGGGCAGAACTCGAGCCAAGCAGCAAAACACAATATGGCAAGCTCAGGGCACAGGGCTGGTTATGGGGTAGTTGCTCTTCAGTTTTTAAATTTTTACAACAGATATAATGCTCGAGGATAGGTCTGAATATCCTTATATCACCCCCCTTTCAAACCAACATACGCACACGGACAAAAAGGACCTGCACACAGTCGTGGGCCAGATCAGCCCGTTCTGGCCCTTTGGACCGGAATAAAAGCTCATGTCTCAAACAGCTCGGTGGCACAGCAGGGCTTTTCTCCCCCATTCAAAGGCGGCGTGTGTAAGGAGATGCTTTTGTGCACACCCAGACACACAGACACATGCTGCTGGGGTCGGGGGAACCGTAGCTCCGTTCTTGGGATGACATTGGCTCATCAGCTGATGGGAAGTTTGACACAAAAACCCCTCTAAAAATAGAGAAGGTCTGGCAAAAGCACAAGCCCTTCAATGTGCATGCAGCATGTTACACACTGAAAGCTGGCTCCTGCGTGCTGGGGACGTGGGACAGGGCTGTCCCACAGGTGGGTATCCCACCTCCTGCCCTTTTACAGATTTAAGTCGCACTCCTTAAGTGGGATAAAACCTGTCCTGGGCATGTAACGCTGTCCTGAACCTTTGGGGCTTCTTCACACTCCTTCCTGCGTGGCTGCGTCCCCTCTCCAGTGGCTGGCAAGGAACTGAATGAATTAGCAGGAGAATTAAGATATATCAATCAAGGCACTCAGGGAGGGGAAATGCTGCAGTGAATGGCCAAGACATAAATCTGACAGGAGCGATGATCGGATGGGAATTTATCCCAGCTGCAAAGGAGAGACTTGCTTACCATGAGGAGAATCTGCAGACGCCAGTCCCGGTGGGGCTGTAAGCAGCTTCCCACACCCCATGGAGGTAATCCAAGGGGCTGGGCCCACACTGTGCAGGAGGAGGAGGAGGTGGTTGAGGCAGTTTGGGTAAGCCCATGTGCTACTTTGCTTCACTGCAACCTGTACAGAGTTAAATCCTGTCATATTTGCTGTGCTTGGGAAGGGAGGCTGAGAGCGATAAGCACAGCCCAACACCTCAGCCTGGGGAGGGCGGTAACAGGATCATGGGGACTTTGCACAGCACCAATGCTGGTCCAAGGATAGACTCATCTCAACTCACTGGTCGCCAAAAGTATCTGTGCTCTGCCCTCCTGAGCATGCTCAACAAAGATGTGATACAGCATAAAACTGCCCACCCAGGATAAGGCAACGCTTAGTGACTCAAAGCTCCTCCACGCCCAGGGCTTGGGGGCTGTCTTCATTGGAGAGTGGTCCCATTCTCCCCTTGCACCCCAGGCCACAGGCGTGGGTAGTGTGGAGGATACAGCAGGAGAGCTGCTACAATCCTCTGCAGCTGGAGAAGCACTACAAGCAGGGATGAGACTTCCTACCACCAGAAAGAGCAGCCAAAGTTCCCCTCGTCCCAGCCTGAAGCCCCCAGGGAGGTGGTGGGCAGCCAGCCCAGGGCTTTCAGGGCTCTCCACACTCCCCATGACATCACTGCACCATGAGCATCCCTCTGCCAGTGGGTCCCTAGCAGGTAAATCCAGGCTGATGCTTTGCCACCTGTGAGCATAGCTCTGGTAACATTTCAGCCATGTGTGTCCATCTCCTGGCTGAAACCATGGCAGACCCCAAGAGTGGAAAACTCCCCCACTGCAGAGACACCAGTCACATCCATAACCGCTATGGACAGACACTGAGCTGCCTCCAGCATCCCCATCGCAGAGCCGTCCCAGCAACAACCACTGAGCAACTCTCCTACCCCACGGACTCAGGAGCGATCATTGCTGGATTCAACTACAGCAGCTTTCACTGCAGAACCAGAGCAACAGCAAAACCACAAGCCCCAGGAGTAGCCCGGCTAATGGGAAGGACCCTCATCCAGGGTCAGGGCGGTTGCAAAGGTTTTATTTGTGACGCCAAGTAAAGAAGTCGGGACCAGGTTGAGTTTGATACCTGCTGTCTTCAAGCCTTCTGGAGTGGGAAGTGTGTTCAGCGAACAACAGCCACAGGTGAGTGTGCAGGGGTGTGCACACACACAGGGACATGCCACATGCAGCAACATCCATGCACGCAAGATGTGCACACGAGTAGGGATGTGCAATGGTGCAGGGATGTGCATGCATGCAGGGACAGGCGTGTGCAGGAAGCTGCTGCCTAAGGTCAGCTCCCCCCAACACAAGCATCCCCTTATTTCTGTACCACCTCAAACCTTGGGATTTTCTCTGTTCTCCGAAAGCAACAGAAAATCACTCATTCCCACGCAACCCTTCCCCCGGGAGCCCAGCTGGTGGTTGCATACGGAAGACGCCATCCCCACAAAGCAAAGCCCAGCATTTCTTAGGCAGACCTGCATGCCCAACCGGCCATTTTTAAGGACTTTGGGGATGTCAGTGTGGACGATAGCCCAAACGCGTCACACATTTTGCCGGTGACTTTAGCAGCAGCAAGGGCAGACAAAAATCAGCCCTTTGGCGCTGGATGTCAGAGGGGTCTGAGCTTGCTTGCAATTAGCAGCAAAACACCGCCTGTGAATCTCCACCTTTCAAGTGTATATGGTAAAACTACGTAAATGCTACTGCCTGGGTTTAGAGGGCCTTAACTGATGGGATAATCATTGGGTAGAGGAGTGAGGATGCAAGAAGACAGCTGGTGAGCTGAGAAAACAGACACTGCGCAGCTCTAGCCCTTTGCTGGGTATTTTTAGTCCCGAGGGGCTGCCAGGCACAGACTTGCTGGAAGGAGGTTCGTTGCCAGTGAAAACGTGCTTGCTTTACTATCCCTTCCCCCCTTCAAAATGATGCTTACCCCACTCTTTGGGATGGAAAACAGCACGGTCACGCGCTGCCTGCTTGGAGAGGCTGGTTTGCAATGATGGTGCCCAGACATGGAGCAGCTGCTGGAGAGCAGAGGGGTTTTTTTGCCCTTGAGCTGATTATTTGCTTGGCATGCCTCTGTAGTGAGCCAAGCTGCCTGCAGGATGCTTGGTCCCAGGGAGCACTCTGGCTTTCCCTTTTCCACCAGGGCAAGAAGCACACCCAGCATTTATCCACACACAAAACCACCTGTGCATCAAGGCAGAGATAGGCTTGCGTTTTTTTCTCTGAACAGTTTCACTCTCATCTCAGCCCTGACAAGAGAAAGGAAAAAACCTCCATGGCTCTGTAAGCAAGATCATTACCCCAGCAGGCAGCTGGCAAAGAGGGTTTAACGTGCACCTTGGAGGCAACAAGCTCGCGGAGATCGATCATCCCATAAAAACGTCAGTTTGATCTTTTCCACTCCTAGAAAATCCTTGTCAGCCACCCAACCTGGCCTCAAAAGAGCGGTACAGTCAGGGTGGCAGAGCCCACACCAGCGGCCATTGCTTGCAGCTCAGCAGCACAAGGACAGTGTCCCCTCCGCTGAACCAGCTGAGGACGGGGTCCCGGCGTCCCGTCTCTGGTGTTCCTTCCCAGCCAGACTTGGGAAGAAGAAGGAGGATAATGCACTT